AGGAGGGAAAAAATGGTGGCCCGAAACAACGGTTTAATAATAATTAAAAAAATCTCTATGGTGGGTTTTCCCAGGGTTCAGTGCTCTGAGAGCGGAAGCGGAAATAGGCTTGTAGTGGGTAGAAGCGGCGCGTGGGTCTCTGGCTTCTTCGAATTGCGGCTATGGGTCGAGTCAAGCACCAGGAACCCGAGGAAGCGCCGGAGACCGAGGCAACAACCCCAGAACGGTCGTACCACGAGCTGGTCGCAAATGTAAATGCTATTGCGCGGCCGTTAGCCTCTCGGAAGCTCACACGCAAACTCTACAAGTGCATCAAAAAAGGTGCGTGCGATGTGGGGGGGGGGGAGACCTTCCCGGGTGGGCTGTGACATGGACTCCGTTTGGAGCATTACTGTCTCTTGGGTTCTTCCTGAAAGCTCTCCCGTTTTATTTTCTAGCATCGAAGTTTAAACAGATCCGGCGAGGGGTGAAAGAGGTCCAGAAATTCATCAACAAAGGGGAAAAAGGGTAAGAACCTGTGATGCTCCAGGCGGTGGAATTTTTGTCAGAGTTAATCTCCGTATTTCCGCTTGAAGTAACCGCTGTGGTGTGCTTTGGTCTACTCTAACTCTAAAGCAAAACCCCTTTAAATCTATGAAAATATAAATGCTTAAATTAGCTTTTTCTACACCAAGTTCACAGAAACTAGTGTGACACTCTAAGCAAATTAGAGACATACTTTCTGTGTTAGCGATAATAATAATAATAATAATAATAATAATAATAATAATAATAATAATAATACTTTTATTTCTATACCGCCCTTCTCCCGGAGGACTCAGGGCGGTGTACAGCCTATTAAAAGCACAAAGACAAACATCAATTAAAAATAATTAAAATTATTAAATAGTTTCGGCTCAAATTTAAAACCCCCAAAATTTAAAACACCTAATTTAAAATCATTACATTGGTAGCCCGGCCTGGCGGAACAGCAGGATCTTGAGGGCACAGTGAAATACACGGAGGTCGGAGATCTTACGCATTTCCGGGGATAGTTCATTCCACAGGGCTGGGGCTCCCACAGAGAAGGCCCTCCCCCTGGGTGTCGCCAGCCGACATAACTTGGCCGATGGCACCCTGAGGAGACCCTCTCTGTGGGAGCGGACTGGCCGGTGGGAGGCTATTGGTGGCAGAAGTCGGTCTCGAAGGTACCTGAGTCTTATGCCATGGAGCGCTTTAAAAGTGGTAACCAGCACCTTGAATCGCACCCAGAAGACCACTGGGAACCAGTGCAGCTCGCGCAGGAGGGGGGTTACATGGGCACAACGGGTTGTGCCCATAACCACCCACGCGGCCGCATTCTGGACCAATTGGAGCCTCCGAGTGCTCTTCAATGGGAGCCCCATGTAGAGAGCATTACAATAGTCCAGCCGGGAGGTGACAAGGGCATGAGTGACCGTGCGCAAGGCGTCCCGGTCCAGAAAGGGCTACAACTGGCGAATCAGGCGAACCTGATTAAAAGCCCCCCTGGCCACGGCCGTTATATGCTCTTCTAAAGACAGCCGTGCATCCAGGAGGATGCCCAGATTGCGAGCCCTCTCTGTGGGGGGCAGAGATTCATCCCCAATAGTCAGCGATGGCACCAGCTGACTATATCGGGACACTGGAAGCCACAGCCACTCGGTCTTGGATGGGTTGAGTCTGAGCCTATTTCTTCCCATCCAGACCCGCACGGCCTCCAGGCAGCGAGACATCACATCAAGGGCATCGTTGGGGTGGTCTGGGGTGGAGATGTTGGGTGGTCTGGGGCGGAGAAACTTGTTTGAGATTTTCCATTATGTTGAATGTTATGTTTTACTAATCCCTAATTTTTAACCAAATGCTAAAATTACTTTGTCTTGTTTCTCATAGAATCACAGTTCTTGCAGGAGATACATTGCCTATTGATGTTTATTGCCACATCCCCATCATGTGTGAAGACAGGAGTCTTCCCTATGTATATATTCCATCTAAAACGGTAATAATTGGTTAAAGGAGTTTTCTTCCTGCTGGTCCTTGAGAAAGGAATGAATGTATAAAATGGGTCAAAATTCAATAGAATTTTGTCTCGCATGATCATTTTATTTTCCTATGTAAACAGAAATAAAAGCTCAGATACTTAGATATGAATACTTAGTTTTTCTCAAAAGCTACTATTTATCTCTACTCTTTAAATTCCATGAAGCGAATGTTGTTGATTATTAAAATTATTAACTATTATTGTTCATAATAGTTTATGAACAAACCTTTGTATATTGTTTTGTATCTTTTCAGTTGTGACTTGAATATATAACAAAACTGGGTGCAATAACATGTTAACATTCAGAAGCTGGAACTCTAATCTAAGCTAGATTCATTTTATAGATGGCTTGCTGAATAACATATGGCAGGGGTATCAAACTGGCGGCCCACAGGCCAGATGCGTCACGCGCAGGCCACGCCTACCCCAGCTCCGCAAATTGGAAAAGCATAGCGTGACAGCAATGTGATGCTGCAGGTTTGACACCCATGACATCTGCATTCATACAATAGACTGTCATATACAAGATTAAATTATTGCTTAGTACAGTGTTTGAATCTAGCTAACAAGTGAATATTAGATATTCAGACTGCAGATCCTTATAATACCAAATATAGTTTCAGTATAATCATGTCCAACTATTGAATATGATACTAATACATGAATTTTAATTAAATAGCTAAAAAGTGGTACACGTCATGTTTAAAGACTTCAATACCATATTTTGTTAATACTTTGAGGTTATGAGAGGCCAGTTAATATTTAAGTCCCTGAGAATTCCTTCCTAATGTGAGCTCAGAAGTTGAAATGACAGGGAAGTGGTAATTTAAGAATTTTAATGCCTATGATTCCCATGTATTTTGTCCTGCAGGTGCCATGTTAAATTTTAATCTATTTTTTGTATAAGGTTTGTAAATATGGATGGTCATACAAAAACATTGGAATCCCTAATATTTATTTCCTTTAAATTATTTTAATATCTTAGCAAGATCATTTTGTCTCACATCAAGAGTGAATTCTGAAGCATTAAGTAAGCTTTATTTATTCTCAAGTTGTTGAAATTTGATTTCCATTTCTTAAAACTCAGTGCAGTTGCTGAATTAAGCTTTAGAGAAGTTAGATCTTCACCCTGAGGGGGCTAAAAATCAAATTTTTAAAATACTGGATTTGTTTAGTTTGCAGCTTGAAATATGTATGAAAAAAAGGAGATCTTTGTGTGATCCAAGAAACTGAATCCTTTTCTTCTTTTGCATTCAGGATTTGGGAGCAGCAGCAGGCTCAAAACGCCCAACCTGTGTTATCATGATAAAGGCTCATGAGGACTATCAAGAAGCTTACAATGAGTGCTTGGAGGAAGTAGAAGCTCTTCCCCTTCCTTTGTGAAGAACATTGATAATGGATGCTATTAAGACTCCAGGATATGATATACTGGATTCTATAGGCTTTATGTGGTTAAATATCAGTTTCATGTCAGTTTGATACGACAGTTGGCCTGGATTGTTGCACTGAGGAATATATCAAGTGACCTATTGAGAGCCCAGGAACCATGGCAGCTATACTGTAATCATCTATTTTTGAAGAGTTTTGATGGCAATTCTTGCTGGAAATTTGTGTTGAAATGTTGGCCAATGTTCAGCTCTAAAAGAATTCTAGACCATTAGCATAGAGGAACTGTTAAATAATAAAAATATTTGTAGATATATTGGCCTTATCTAATTCAATATACTATAGTCTTACTTGCTTATTTCAAAGCAGGGGTCCCCAACTTCTGGTTCGTGGACCAGCATCAGTCCACAGCATGCCAGCAGCTGGACCCACAGAAACAAGCAAAGCTCCATCCACGGGATGCAGGCATTACATGACCTCTCTGGTCCGCAGAAAAACCTCTATCCACAGAACAGGTCTCTGGTGCCCAAAAGGTGCTCCAAAATACCTTCAACTTGTGTTCCTCTCTCCTTGGGGTAGAGAACATTTCTTGCCTCACTGTACGCTCCTTTATGCATACAGAAATGCTATTAAAAATTTTAAAATACAAGTCATCTATATAGCCTCTTTATGAAAGGGCAGTGTTATTTCAGCCCTTGTTAACTAGATCATACTGTACTGCAGAAGCAAATATGAAGCATTAAAAAAAAAAAAAAATCCAGCCCCAGGCCAGCTAGACTAAGTTGCTTTATACAAATTAATCTTACACTGAAGATTTAAATAGAAGTTTGTAGGTATTGCATTGTATGGTAACATGCAAAGCAAACGAAAAATAATTTATTTCAATTTGTTTGTCTCCTGCTACCCCCTTTAGTTGTCTGATATGTACAAGATTGGATGGAACTGAGAATACCTGCAGCAAGATAAAGCCTCTGGCTACTCCTAAAGGCTATAGTGGCAATTGATTTTTTCAATTACCCTTTCTCTCGTGTACAGGTTTTTGCTTCAGAAAAAGGCAGCCTCATTTCGTAAAGCATATGTTGTAAGCATTAGTTCTTACTTGAAGCCTCCAAGTTAAAATAACGCTGTAACACTTTAGAAAATTATTTCGAAAGAGCTGTAACTTTGAGGAAATCTTTAAGATTAGTCCATGAGAACACCAATCCTGGATATTAGGAATAATCTATGCCTAAGGATATGTCTAAATTAAAATCTCTAAGGCAGATTTAAAATCCCTTTTACATACACAAAATGAAACATTTTATTACAAGCTGTTAACACCAAACTCTTGTTCATTACCTATACAGGTTTTAGATTTACCAAATTTAAATAGTACATGCTCTGATGCTATAAATTGTTTATATAAGGAAGAAAATTGATCCTGACTTTTGAGTTTTTATTTCTCTACTTAAATTTGTGTATTTGTATTCATATTCTAAGGAAATGTTCCACTGTATACTCATCTCTTAGTCTCTGAAGAACAATATTGTATACAGAGGCTGACTTAAAATGTTAGGAAATGCCAGTAATCTTACAATTGTCCTCATTTGCATTTTAATTTACTTGAAATTTTTCTTCAAAACAGGAGTAAGCTGGATTCTCCACATGCTTTTCTTACCTCAGAAACACATTTCTGTTTTCAAGAATTTGGTAATCTGTAAGCATTAAAAGTGGGGAATAGAGGGTAGCAGCTCCACATACAGCGCTTGTGGTATCCAACAAGAAACAGAATTGTGACCAGGGACAGGATAAACTCTACAACAGGAGTAGTGCCTGTTCAAGCTGCCAGGATGAAGCCAAAAACAGGCAGATATGGAGTATACGTACAGGATATTGCATTGCCTCAACCTTTGAAGTTTTTGTCTGGTCCACTAAACCAATCAGCTTCCATTGTATAGCAGCTGTTATATTAAGCAGGACAGAGAGTTCTGCTTGCACACAACTGCTGTATTTGAAGAGCCTATTTCATAACAAGTCTTGCCATTATCAAAAGATGAGGCGTTTTCCATCGGCTGGGTTTTGTTCCATGGGGCAATATGGACACTTCAGTCTGCAAAATGTAACAAAAAAGAATTAAATCAGGACTTTGGAATCTTTACCAGAAACTACTTTTGTAACTAATATGAAGATGATCCACCCCACACTCCTGGAAAACTGGCAGCAAATTCTGTTGTATGAAAGTGTGATGGAGTGATTGTGCTGGCACCACAGACATCCACGCCAAGTCTATCGTCTGTTACTGAAGCTTGCTGGGCTTTAGGCTTGTTTCTTTGTTCTCGGCCCAGTTTATTTAATGTTTGTTATGAAAAATGGGAGCGCTACGTGTCTTGAGATTCTGAAGGAAAAGCAGGATAAAAATCTTAATATTCGCCAACTTTGTTTCTATTTTTGACTCCATATTATTTTTTTTAAAAAAATCTAGATTTGGTTCCAGTAATGTCAGTTAAGTCATTCCTTTTTAAGATGTGTGGACCTCAACTCCCAGAATTCCCCAGCCAGTATGTGGCTGGGGAATTCTGAGAAATAAAGTCTACACATCTTAAAAGTTGCCAAGTTTGAGAAACATTGATTTGGAGTTTTTAAAATAGCCTTGTTCAACAATTGAGCTGAAGGTAGCAGACATAATGCAGCCATAGCATATATATATATATATATATAGAAATTTTAAAAAGTATTTTGGGGGAAAGTTTTAGTAAATCTACATGGTATTTACATGTATAAATATGGGATGAATAAAATATATGATCTAACTGCAGTATGAAAATGGAAATAGTTCAGGCAATTACTTATCTACTAACCCCATAACTTTCATTGAGATATCAAGATTTGATGAAAATCACTCACTTCCCTCCATTGATAAGCTTGTTGAGAGCATCTCTAGAAATAACATGTCCACAAATCAACTTGATAGGTGGATTGGAATCTGTGGTCTGTTGGCGCAGGATGGGACATGCAAAGACTGAATGATACCAGCATTTCATTCCTAGCTCAACTTCAATCTGTTAAGAAAAGTTAACTTTAGCATGTAGTTCTATTCATTTTCTTCAGCAAAAATCCCAACCCATCCTATAGTTCCTCCCCAGAATGGGTTAAGTAACTCACAGGCAGCTCATCCTTGTGGCTCCAGACACCTGTGCATTGTCTCTGCTCAATCACAGCCTTGATGTTCATCAGAACTGGCAATGCTACACACCCTGCGGCAAAACTGCAGAGACAGAATGCTCAGTGCTGCCCAGTACAGCCCCCAGTCCCACCTGAATGAAGCTTTACCTGACACTAAGAGGTGACTCCACTGAGAGACCAAGCAAGGAACATGCATCACGAGTGAAAGTCTCACAAATCTCTGTCCAATGACTTTCATCCAGTAGATGCCTATATGGAGAATTCTGAAGGCCTAAGCGTAGGTATACCAGACTTCCCATCATCACTTGGATCTCTGTTCAGTAAAATACAGGAAGTGCTACTTCAGTGAACAATCTTCACTAAGGCCACCTAGGCCTATTTCAGAACGAATTGTAAGAAACTGGTGACAACACAAATGAACAGGCTGAGGAGACGATTCCATTGTTTTGAATCAAGGAATTCACCAGTTTAGTTTACTTCTTGTATTAAAACTGGGGAGAGAACACGTAGACCATGGTTTCTGGAATTCTTTTCTACCCCTTCATACCAGCTGCACTCAGTCACATGACCAGGTGGGAGGAAGGCGAGGCTCAAGAATGGAGCAGCTGGTAGCATTCCAAGGGCTGTCCAGCTGCTTCTCCCATATGAATGAATTAAGGGGAAGTTTTCTGGAATGCCTTTCTTCAAAGCCCCAAGCTGGATCAGGCCATTTTCAAGCTTGATCTTTTGTCAGCTTTTCCCACTATGCCAAATCTGGTCCTGTTTTTTTCAGTTCTCAGACAGGTACCCTGCTGAGAGATGAACAGGCTCAGTTCCTTTCCACACTCTCTTTCCACCATCCCATTGGGTTGGAGAGAAAAGGGGAATAATGAGATTCCAACATTCTTTAGCTTTAAGAGTTGTTTGAAGCAACAAAATCAGAAATGAAAGCCATCAGTTCTGGCAACTATAAAGAAACATTATGAAAAACAATCTTAATACAAATAAAATGTGTTATTTTACCTTTGTCAAGGATGCTGAGCAGAGCATTAGCCCAACAGACCTAGGAAAGAAGTATTAGTCCATAGCAAGAAAGCAGATCCAAGGAAAAAGTGTCCCACCTTGCTTGTGTAGGTGGGCAAAGGGTTGAAAGTGACGTGCATAGCTCAAGGCCTCCAACTCCTTGCCGGGGCCGCCAGAAAGAAGTCTGATGAAATGGAGCCGATGCAGCTGAAATTCCAGAGTACTGTTCAGATCGGCCAGCTGCTGCCTGTGGAAGACTGCCCAGCTAGGCAAGGTACATTATTCCCTCAGCACCAGAGTCTATAAAGGAACTGTCCTCAGAGTGATTATAATGAAAAAAAGACTTTGCAATGTTCCAAACTCACATATCGGCTACAGGAGGTTATGAATGCTGCCTGCTTGTTTTTAAGCGAAATTTCAGAAATGTACTAGATTTCATAGATGAGAAACAAAGCATCTTAAAAAGTAATTAAAAACTAATCAAAGTAAATTAGAAACCTAAACTAAAATAATCAGATTAGGAATTATAGGAAGAAAAGAAACGGGATTCCCCAAAGGAAAACAGGGCCCTGTTCTAAAGACTTACCTCAGAGCAGGTCCCAGGTCTTGTTTGTGCAGAGCTTCCAGAATGCTGTTCAGTTCCAGGAATGGTTTTTTGAAGTCTACATCCACATTCACAGTTGATTCCTGCCAAGGAGAAACCAGAAGTTGATTGAAAAACAAATTGTCTTGCCTTCTCCTGAAAATAAAGGAGCAGGCAAGAAGTGGAAATATCTGCAGATGGAGGTTCAAATAAAGATTATGGATAATCATTGACTTACGACTGGTTGCTTAATGACTATTCAAAGTCACGATGGACCCCTGAAAAGCTACTTACAAGCCAGTTTTGAAGTTACAATGGCCATAATCCCCCACCCCCCACGGTGACATGATCGCATTTTGAGTGCTTGGCAAGTGGCTCACCTTTACGGCCATTTGAGCATCTCATGATCACATCACCACAATTTGCTATGAATTCTGCTGTTTTCCAGTGTCTACTTCCAGTTTCTGGCAAAAAAATGCATCTGGGGAAAATGGATTTGCTTAATGAGCACGGTGTTTGCTTAACAACTGCTATAAAATATGTCCAAAAAAAAAATCAGGTCGTCACATGATGCCTCGACTTATGACTGCAATGATTTATGACCATAACTGTTATATGTCAAGAACTACCTATAGCCATTTCAGAATGGACAAAAAAGATATACAACAGAAGAGTGTAATTGGGTCAAGTGCTTCTCTGGTACTGTAGGTACTGTAGGTAAGAAAGTAAGTTTGTGGCCAGCAGAATTGAATAACCTAACTGAAGCATAAGCCCAAAAGGGTAACACAATGTAGGATTACAACCATTATGTACTATTCATAGTCCTTGCTTACTGACCATTGGTTCAAAGTTACAACTGTTCAAAGTTACAGTGGAGCTGACCAAGGAAATTTAAGCTAGTTTTCAAAGTTGTAGTCATTGTCACATGATCATTATTTGGGTTCTTGGCAACTAGTGCACATTTATGATAGTTTCAGGTCCCATAATCATGTAATCACCATTTGTGACCTTCATAGCTGGCTTCTGATAAGCAATGTCAATTGGGAAGCCAGCAGGAAGTCACAAATTGCACTCACATGATGTCAGCTTAATGATCTGTGGCAATCCGCTTTACAACCACATAGCGACAGGGTTGACAGTCCCAACTCTAGTTGGTAAGTGAGGACTTCATGTATACCATGCAAAGATTTCTGTCATTAAAGAGATTAGTACCTGACACAGTTCTTCAGCCACTCCCAGCATTCCTTGTTGATAGAGATGTTCTATAATTGCCAATACCAGGATCTGTTTCTCTTGGGTTTCCCAGACCAGAGCAGGGACAATGCCACACAAATCAGCATCAAAATTCTGGAACAAAAATTTGTGAAAATGAAAGAGAAGCAGATGATCCTTCAATCTGTATTTCAGAAAGGAAGCAAAGTAACTTGCTAGAATGATAATTTGCCTTATCTTTAAACATATAAATATGGTGTAAATTCTAGCAATTTAACGAAGGATGCTATACCATCTATAATGAAAGCTAGGTAGTCCTCAAATGAGATTAAACTTCTTCTCTCTGATGAACAGTATAAATTGATGCTCGATATGAAAACTTGAACATTTCTCTACTGTGCAAAAATATAGGAGATTCTTGTTCACAGGCCCCACCTCATATACCTCTACTTAATGCCCTTAATATTTTTATTCCCAATGATGACTTACAACCAAATTGCTTCTTTATTAATTAATTTCTGATAAGAGAAGCCCACACATCACAATTATTTGGCATATAACAAATAATATGGTTAGCTACTTTACATAATATGGGTAGTTCTCATTTAGCAACTACAGTTGAACTGGCAACTTGATCATTACGTGAAGCCATTGCTAAATGAAACCAAAACAGTGTCTATGATCTTACTTCAGCTTTCCTTTCCTTTACAGACCTGCAAAGGTCATAAGTGCAAGGATTGGTCAAAAAGTTACTTTTTCATCACCACTATGATTGCAAATGGTCACTAAAAGAGGCAGTCCCTAAATGAGGACTACATTTTGGAGAACCATTTGCTTGCATACCTCTTGGACCATTTTTCATGCAATATTTTAGATTCAGTATAATGTGAAGAAAATACAATGCTTATGAAGGTTGAGAAAACAGAACAAGAGTGTTCTTGTACTGTACTAAATGAGTGTTTATGCTATTAAAGAACAAAACAATAGAACATGCATATTTCACTAGTTCATAAGCATTCCAAAATCAACAGCATAAAATATATAATAATTGGGGTAACATCTACTCTCATGGCTCCCAATTTAAAATCCAAAGCAATTTCCTTCCAACCCCCTGCCCCCAAATTAGTGGAAGATACTTACTCTATCTATTGCTTTGCCCACGCGGGAGATACTGCTGTGAATATCTTTGTGATCTGAAGCTAAGTTTTGAACAGTATCCTTAATTTTCTTACAGCACTGGGACATAACAAGGGAGAGTGTAGCAGAAAGAGGTCCTCGCTGCAAGGCTATAGTAGGAAAAGCAATGACATTTTAGTTTTAGATATCACCTCAAGTGTTCAGTCTGTGCTTACTTGCAACTTTCATTTGACATAAATAGGTGAAGATATTTTATGGTATCCTCACCTGCAGGCATTTCACATTTGGGGAAAGGCACCACTAGATACAATTCAGTTCCATATAATAATAATATTTTCATACTCAACATTCAAACTCACAAGTATCTTGGAATTCAATTGTGGAAATTAAGGGAAGACAGCAATGAAAATAAACCAGTTGTTGTATAATACTACAGAGAAAGTACAACTTCTGGGTCCCAAGAGATGGCATTGTTTCAAAGAAGTCCCAGCAGTATGGCCTATGTGGACAGGGAGATACCCTTGGGACCAAATACTGGTAGTTCCCAAATAATCCAGTCCTGTCTTTACAGGTATCAACCAGCACACTGAATTGCACCCAGACCCAGAACGTTATTGGTAGCCAGTGTCAAACCGGCATAACAAGCAATGTCCACAACTACTTGCATCACTGCATTATGGATCAATTGAAGTTTTTGGATGTTCAAAGACAGCACATTGCAATTGTTCTGATGGGAGGTGACTGTGGGTGATCATGAGCAGGGCCCATAATCCAGAAATGGGTACAAACTGCGCATCAAACAAAGTTATGCAAAGACACCCCTGGCCACAGTTGCCAACAGTTCTTCAATTTGGATCTGGGAGTCCTGGAGGACCCCAAAGTATGCACTTATTTCAAGCAAGGCAAGGTAAGACTGCTCAGTGTCATAGATCAATCCTCTCCAGTTTTGGGACCTTTGGAACCTAAAACCTACAGCCACTTGGTTTTGGTAGGGTAGAGCCAAATCCTGTTCTTCCCCAACTGTACCCTTGCAACCTCCAGACACAGAGACAGAGCCTCAATACCTTCACTTGAATTTGAAGGAGGAAAGATGTACAATTGAATATTACCTGCATATTGTATTGCATTGTAACAGCCAATAATTAGATTGATCATTCATTCATTCATTAGAATAAGAATAAGAATAAGAATAATTTTATTTCTATACCACCCTTCTCCTGAAGGACTCAGGGCGGTGTACAGCCTATTAAAACACAAGACAACATCAGTTAAAATAGTTTAAAATTATTAAATGAATTCGGCTCAAATTTAAAACCCCAGAAATTTAAAACCCAATTTAAAATTGTTATGTTGATAGACCAGCCTGGCGGAATAACAGGGTCTTGAGTGCACAACGAAACATCCGGAGGTCGGAGATCTTACGTATTTCCGGGGGCAGTTCGTTCCACAGGGCTGGGGCTCCCACAGAGAAGGCCCTCCCCCTGGGTGTCGCCAGCTGACATAACTTGGCCGATGGTACCCTGAGGAGACCCTCTCTGTGGGAGCGAACTGGCCGGTGGGAGGCTATTGGTGGCAGAAGTCGGTCTCGAAGGTACCCGGGTCCTGTGCCATGGAGCGCTTTAAAGGTGGTGACCAACACCTTGAATCGCACCCAGAAGACCACTGGGAACCAGTGCAGCTCGCGCAGGAGGGGGGTAACATGGGCACAATGGGTTGCGCCCATAACCACCCGCGCGGCCGCATTCTGGACCAGCTGGAGCCTCCGAGTGCTCTTCAAGGGGAGCCCCATGTAGAGAGCATTACAATAGTCCAGCCGGGAGGTGACAAGGGTGTGAGTGACCGTGCGCAAGGCGTCCTGGTCCAGAAAGGGTTGCAACTGGCGAATCAGGCGAACCTGATAAAAGCCCCCCCTGGCCATGGCTGTCATATGCTCTTCTAAAGACAGCCGTGCGTCCAGGAGAACACCCAGATTGCGAGCCCTCTCCGTGGGGGGCAAGGATTCACCTCCAATAGTCAGCGATGGCACCAGCTGACTATATCAGGACGCCGGAAGCCACAGCCACTCAGTCTTGGAGGGGTTGAGTCTGAGCCTGTTCCTCCCCATCCAGACCCGCACGGCCTCCAGGCAGCGAGATCACATCAAGGGCATCGTTGGGGTGGTCTGGGGTGGAGATGTACAGCTGAGTATCATCAGCGTACAGATGACACTTCACCCCAAAACCACGGATGATCTCACCCAGCGGCTTCACATAAATGTTGAACAGAATGGGCGAGAGGACCGACCCTTGTGGCACTCTCCATGCGAGACACCTCAAGGTCGACCTCTGCCCCCCTGCCAACACAAACTGCGAGCGGTCGGAGAGGAAAGAGGAGAACCACCGCAAAATGGTGCCCCCTATTCCTAACCCCCTCAACCGCTGCAGCATGATACCATGGTCGATGGTATCAAAAGCCACTGAGAGATCTAATAGGACTAGGACAGAGGAGCAACCCCTGTTCCGAGCCCTCCAGAGATCATCCACCAACGCGACCAATGCCACGTTGGTCATTCATTCATTCATTCATTCAAACAAGCTCAGTTTTGGCTAACCTGAAAGGATATACTTTTTATTGAATTAACCCATTTTCTCAGTTTACTCAAATACATTTGACTCATAAACTAATTAAATGGGCTGGGTTCACATAACAGGCTTCACAACCTGTACATCTAACTCAGGGGTGAAATCCAGCAGGTTCTGACAGGTTCTGGGGAACCGGTAGCGGAAATTTTGAGCTGTTCAGAGAACCGGCAAATACCACCTCTGGCTAGAGGTGGAGTGGGAATGGAGATCTTGCAATATCCTTCCCCCAGGAGTGGGGCGGGAATAGGGATTTTGCAGTATCCTTCCCCTGGAGTGGGGTGGGAATGGAGATTTTGCAGTATCCTTCCCCTGCCACACCCACCAAGCCACGCCCACAGAACCGGTAGTAAAAAAAATTTGGATTTCATCACTGATCTAACCAAGGACAACACTTAAGGAAGGTTGTTTAAAAATTTCACTAGTTTTATTAAGTGTGTTTGGCAAGCCCACTCAGTTCAGTAATCATGTAAAACATAAAATCTCCCAAGCAAAGCTCAACTTCCTACAGTTTCATGGATCAATTGTGTGCATTCTTTTCAGGCAACAAGATAAAGGTGGTGGTTTTTTTTTTTCCCCATTGTGTTCTTCCTATGACTTTCTAGTGTAGGGTTTGCCGTGGTGGTCTCTCATCCAAAGGATTAGCCAGATCCGGATCTGCCTGCCTTTTTACGACCAGATGGCTGATTACGTTCAAAGCCGAGACCGCGATCCCGAACCCCTTCCGCGCCTGTCAGGCAATGCGAACCTGCCGCAGCCCTGCCTCCAAGGCAGGGGCATCCGTACCTGCAGCGCCCAGCTCCTCCCTTAGCTGGCTGACGTAGCGCAGCAGCTCTTCCAGGCCTCGTTCACAATGCTGGCCGTAGCACAGGAACTTCTGCAGCACTTTGTCCACCTCCCTCTCTACGCAGGCGCACCGCTCCATTAGCCCGGCCTGCCTGACACGCTCTGAAGCGGAAGGAGAAAAAGCTTCCAGTCAGGACAGTCGATGGTGACCTTTCCAGGCGAGAGCCCGGGCGCGGGGCTCGGCTGAGGCGGAAGGTCCCTCGCCGGTTGAACGCCGGCGGCGCTGACGAGAAGAACAGGAGACGAGGCCAACCAGCTGGGCATCCACCTCTCTTTCCCCTCTTCCCTACCCCCGGTTTAAGGGAGAGAGAGAGAGAAAATAGTTCGCGGACGGGATTCTGCCTGTGTCTCGGCTCACCCCGTATCGACCCTGTGGGATCCTTGGTGGTTCCTATCACAGACGAGTGATAGGTTAGAAAGGCACCCTCCGTACGCTGAATGGCACGTTCCTTTACTATTCAGTATGAAGGTTGGGTGGAGCCACTTTGGAAAAAAAGGGGGGGTGAGGGAAACTTGAAATAACGCTAACCTGAGAACCGTGGAAAGGAGACGTCAGTTTTCTCCAATATGAGAAAATAGAATAATAAATAATTAGCTTCCTCCTTGTCTTATGCTGCCGCCCTACGCGTACCTAATTGCTAAAGTTCTCTCATGATGGAGCAAACCATTTTTTATTGGGAAGGGTGTGCCTGGAATGAACTACATAGGGTGCAACAGCTGATTGGGACAAACCATTTTTGGCTTAGGTAAATTGTAAGTGACGTATAGGAGTTGGAGTGAACCATTTTGTAGGCAGTTTGGAGTTGCTTGTATGGTGAGAGTCCAATGCAGGTAAGATGAAAATATCAATCGCAGATCAGGCAAACGTTTGATGAACGGTGACCCCAACCTGTCTTAAGACTTGGTATTATCAATTAAAATAGATCAAGTCTTTCAGCTTTCGCCCTCTCACTGGTGATTAGAGGCTCTGTTCCCACGTGCAGTTTGGGAGCACCACAACATCCTGAATAACTTGTCTTCTCCCTTGGTATCCAATGCTGATCTTATCTTATCCCCAGCTCATTATTTAAATAGTCTCGTGTCATCACTTCCTGTCCTGGAATATTTTTTTCTCTCTGTGTCTCATAACATCCCATCAAAATGTCACATTCAATAAAATTTAACACTGTGCCATCCATTAGGTTGGAGCTAAATTCAAATTACCTGTTGTATGCAAATGACCATGTGCTTTGGATATGGCTCTGCCATTCAGAGGAAAGATGACCTGTTATAGGTGTGTTCAAATTATGTTTTGGTGTATGTGCTTGGAAATATAGACACTCCTTCCTTGTGGTCATTAGTCTTCATTGCAGCTATCACTCTCAGCAGTTACCTTCTCGTTTATCACTAAATATCCTGTGTTCCTTTCATCCCGGTAATATTCCCCCACCCTATTTTGGAATTAATATCTCTTCAGTATTCTAACCAGATACCCAAAAGAAGAGACAGGTTCATTATTTTATTGAGAGAAGTGCGCCACGTTTATGCAATTCTACATTTGCATAATTCCAAAATGTTTTCAGGAAACAAATCCGCTTCACATTTTTCCTCAATGCAGCATCTGGAAAATCATGAGGGTTGTTAAACTGGGCATTTATTATTTGCCAGTTTCTCTGTGTTAATTTCTTACTTTCCTGGAAATAATTGTGTACACAGGATATAGTTATACAATTCTGTAGGTTTTGGTTAACAATGTAATTATATTAGGGTCTCTCTCTCTCTCTGCAATTATTTCCAGTCTGATATCTCCCTAAAAGTGTTTACTTTTATCTCAATTAAAATATGCTGGAACTGCTCGATTAATTCAAACATTTTTGGAGACAATTGGGAGCCTTCTTGGTATTTGCCCAAGATGGATGTGGAAGATAAACCAATGTAAGGAGTTGTCCCTAAATTGTGGAATTATAATTCCTTTTGTGCTGCATTGTTCCAGTTGGGGAATGTTTTCCTGCTAGATAAAGATATGAAGATGGATAATAACGAAGTTATAGAAAAAGGCAAATTGGCATGCATATAACAAATGGTGTAGTTGCAAATCTGGACTATGCGGTTTAGCAGGCAGTTGCAACAGAAAAGCAATTGAGATTGGCCCTTCTGAGACGCAATTTTATGATGGGATTATTTTGTACCAACATGAAGAATTGAATTTTTTTTAGATTGCCATTTTGTAATGCATCTTTTCTGGAATACAACTGTTAATTCTTTGTGTTAGAAAATTACCAGATTGTGTGAACCTTAAATATTTATATTTTAATTATATATCTTAATAAATATTCAGTTTGGCTGCTGTAATATATTTACATTGTGTGGCTGTGAAGTCATTTTAGAAACAACTGTTCAAAATATAGTGGCTGATTTATTATCTTGGGTCATGAATACAGAGCACATTAGACCAATTACTGCAAAAGTTATAGTAATTTACAATTTATTTCCAATTGAAGCTAGATTTGGTATTGACCTATATTCCCTTAATAGTCTAGGCCTGCATATGTCATATATCAAACATCTATCTACCTGCAGTATCTATCTGCGGTTGAAAATTAACACAACTGTATCTTAAGAAAAGTTTTTTATTTAGTCTCTCTCTTGCAGGGCTACATGATTGTGGTTATTATTAAACTATTATTAATATTTTTGTGGTTATTAAGTTGCTTGATCTCAGTCAAATACTGATTGCAGTCATTGAGACATCATGTCGCAATTTGCAATCTCCTACCCGCTTCCCTATTGACTTTGTTAGTTGGAAACTGGAAAGGTTGCAAATGGTGAGCATGTGACAATGAGATGCTGCAACTGTCATTAAGCGAGGACCACCTGTACAGCAATTTGTCCACATAGAAGGGACTTTGACATCCCAATTGTCAGTGAAGTTATACTGGAACTTATTTCAGTCCCTGGTATTACTAGAACAAACATAGGTACATCTTTTGTCAGACTATATTACAGCTTTTATTGGTACTACTACTATTACTACTACTAATACTAATACTACTACTACTACTGGGAAGTGAGCAGAAAAATGTCTGAAGTAATTAGAGATGAGGTTTGTCACATCTAACCTTGGATTGTCACAAATACACAGAATCTAAATCTTTGCTGAATATGAATAGCAAAAATACAAAATTTGCTGCGTGATGCCCAGCTACAGGATGTCACAGAAGTGAGTACACCCCCTCACATTTTGTAAATGTTTAAATATATATTTTCATGTGACAACACTGAAGAAATGACACTTGGCTACAATGTAAAATAGTGAGTATACAGCTTGTATAACAGTGTAAATGTGCTGTCCCCTCAAAATAACGCAACACACAGCCATTAATGTCTAAACTGCTGGCAACAAAAGTGAATACACCCCTAAGTGATACATATTTGGAAAATAAGGTAAATCTGATAGGTTTTAAGAATTCCTAGCAATACAAATGAAATGCACAAAAAATGAAAAGCATATAACTTAGGAGCTATATCATGTTGCTCTTTCAGTTCCCTGAGAGAAATGTGGTTCAGATCTAGATGTCTAGAGGGGTCAGACTATCTGAGCCCACCAAGTGTTTTTAGATTAGAACTATAACACTGCATCCCTCTTCATATATTTGGCAGATGCCTGGGCTTCCCTACTTGGATGAAATGAACCAGTCCTGTGGAATTCAGGAAACTGGTTTATCCAGCAGTTCTAAGAGGCAAATACCCTTGTTACTTTTTGTGACGCCTTGACTCTTCCCTGTGGCATCTGAGCAAGCAACTTGGTTTCTGGCTTAGCTGCCAAGTTTTGGTGCCGCCCTCCCTGGGTTGCTTCCCAACTCCCTGCAGTTCTAATTGATGGGTGGAAACCTGCTGTGGGGATTTTGGAGTGAGGCACCAACAGAGTTTTGGACTGGCGTGGGCACAGGAACCAAACAAGAAATTTCAACAACCAGCTGTCTTGCAAGAAAAACAAGCATTTGTGGTTTTTTGGGACCAGCAAAGAAAAAAACCATCTGATATAGTAGGAAGTATGTTACTAGTCCAGCACAGTGTAATCTAATTTACAGTATCTTTTTTTCAGTCCTTTTATAATTTGCTAATTTGGGTTGGTATCTTGAAAATTAACCACATCCATATAAGTAGTTCCTGATAAGGGATTAAACTTATAAAGTGAGAGTGAGACTGCAGTAAGGGTCAACCGTTTAGTGGATTTCTAATTATATTAAGTGCTTATACTCAAGGATAATTCAAAGATGATTCTGCAGCAAAGAACTCTGGCATACAACTGGACTGTTTCACATCTAGTGTGATAAATTTTCATCTAGGTTCCATCAAATCACTTAATAGCCAGATAGCTTTTCTGCTCTGGAAAATGAAATATAGTAGGCAGTGATGTCTTATAGCTAAAATGAAATATGCTAGGCAGTGATGTCTCCAGATAGCATACTAATGGCAAGTTGTGTAGCATCAGTGAACATGGATTAAAACAAGAAATGCAATCTGAGACATATTAAGATGTCCTGAGCTGATCACTATTAAACATATTTAATATAGGATTTCATGCACCATATTGGATAATGGCAATCCAAAAGTAGTAAGAAGATTTGAGTAAACTGACAAAATGTTGGCATTTGGAACATAACAAAACAGCACTCTGCATTGATCTGTCATATAGTGATATTTCTCTTAGGGCAGGGGTGTCAAACGTCACGTGATATATTGCAACTTTTTCCCCCTTTGCTAAAATGGGGGTGGGCGTGGCCAGTGCATGACACATCCGGCCCGCAGGCTATGAGTTTGACACCCCTGTCTTAGGGCATATATACAGTAAAGCTTCTGACTTCATGCCAGAGCTACATTCTTAAGAACACACTTTTTCCTTTAACTTCACATCTGTATAGTCCATACAACATACCACCTGATACCATTTGGCTTGGGCAAGCACTATTCTACAAGCAAGGCAGTTTTTCCTCATCATTGCAGGTTTTCCTTACCAGTGGGATATGTAAAGCTCTGTTTTAAAAGAGAGAGAAACTACAAAATCGTTGAAAACATCATTCATCCTCTTTTTGATGGCTTAAAGGATATTTGGTATAGGATTATTTTCATTTTACATCCATAGATTCCCAAAATTATTTTAAGAGATTTCCCAGCTCAATCTTCCTCCCCTCAGAGGAAAAATCCCCAAGATTAGACATTGTTTCTTTGTTAAAAATGCATGTCCTAATTTCTTCTTATATTGGCTTATCAGGTTTTAGAGTTTATAAAACAACATGCAGTTTATCCATTGAGAACATCCCTTATAGCACAAGTGGCAAAAATACTAGGAACAGAAAACATTAGAACAGGGGGAAAAATAGCAATCATAGAGCCAGAAGATTTAGGCAAATATTTATTCAATACATTGCCAGGTTGTGCTTCCATTTCAGAATTCTTTACGTTAGCAAGAACCTTCAAACCTAGAACAGAGACACCAAGCAGCAACCGAACAAATATGTTCATAGCTTCATTCTCATTATTATAGAGAAACTGACCATAAGCCAGATAACATTGTCCTATGATATTTTAACGGCTGAGCCCAAATGGCTTGGCTTGTGCTTTTGTTTCATAGGCCAATGGAACTGGAGTTGCTGCTTCACTTTCCAG